AGTGAGGCACACAACTGCAAGTCGAGGCCGACTGCAGCCGATGCGCTGCAAGGCGATTCAGATCACTTTCAATTCGGCGACAACAATGCGAACTCATAAATAATAATTTCAGACCTATTCCGATTTGAAAAGAACGCAAAAGTTGAAAACCTTAAAAAGAAGCAGCGTGGCCAACTGTAAAAACAGGTAACCTTCAAGCGAGCCAGCGGTCCGGAGCAACAACACAATGGCAGCAAAGTCAAACCAAAAGTCATGTCCGGTGTGGACGGACAGTGCTCAGTGTCTCGGCTGCCGAGTCGCTCAGTGGGTTCAAAGTCAAATGCCGGAGATGCGTTCGCCCAGATACGCGCTAAATTGCCACTGCGAAGGACGCATATTAATTTTTATAGCCGTAGAAAATGATGATTGCATAACCGACTGCGCCGACTTAGAGTTAACACCAAGCGGCTTCGAGGTCTGCCTGGCTGGTGGACTAGGAGAAGGCAGTGCCGTGCAGGTGATTTTCCAATCGTGATGAGTTTTTGGAAAATCTGCATTGCCCAATGACATATGCAGAGGTACCTGAAAGTGGAAGTGGAAAATGCAAGTGCAAAAAAAGCAGGTTTCACTTTTACTCGTAGTGTTGTTGTTGGGTTTTCAAGGGCACTTCGAGCATAAAAAAAGAGCCCTCATACTGTAATTAGGACTCAACATGCCGTGCTGACCAAATCTGAGCGCTACAACTGCATTTGGCTTAGATTTTCATCAGCCCGCGACAGCCGGGGCTAACTGACTTATATCTCGTATTTACTTTCTGCTTGTTTGTTTACTTTTTTCTTTGGTTCGCTGTGCAATTTGGGTTTTCATTTTAGGAATCCTGCCTCTCTTCCTCCCTGTTTCTCGTGCAGCGAAATCGCCGCAGTCTATGGTTTTTTACTTTTGCCGATTTTTGCGTTTGTTGTCGCGTATCTCCTTGCCATAAATCATTGTCACCCGCTCTGTGCAATGTCACTGCGAGCGCACCCCGCTGGGCGGTAGCAACGAGGCTCCACAGCAGGCAAAAAACTGAGCAAAAGTCACTGACGCTGACTCCTCGTAGCGGCTGCGGCCCAACTCAGACTGCGGCTCCAAGCACTCCCAGCAACTGAGCCGAGGCCGTCTAGCAAGCTGAATCCCCGGCAAAGTGCCACCCAAAATCAGCGCCCAACCAACTTGGCTCTTTCGTCCTTCTTCACTGCAGCGACATCAAAATCGTACACGAAATTAAAAAGCACACCAAAGAAGCATCAACAACTGTTTTGCAGGCATTTCTGTTGGTTGGAATGGGGACGGTGTTTGGATTTTCTAGAGTGTTAAAAATATAGATGCAATTCCATATATCGTATGTAGGCGCGACTACCACTGTTGTGTGATGTACTTCGAACACATACAGATTTTACTAATATTTTTGTGTGAATTCGATTAAACGTAACTAAACTCAATATGTAGCTCTGACAAATAAGTGCGACCCTTCTTTGAACTACGCACAGTCAAGATCAATCAAGAAGATATTTCAAACTGAGGCCGGCCAGGCTTTGAATGAATTGAAGTCTATTTTTCTTATCCTCCTTCGTTTGGACGATATATCAATTATCGGCAATTCCATAAATCAGTGCTCATATAGACGAATTTCCGATTTATATCTGCATTCTGATTAATAATATATATTTATATACGAGTATGTGTATTTTTCCCCTGGCGGCTAGTACTTAAATAGATGCCTCCGTTAACTTAATTAGTTACAATTACAACAAAAACAAAATTCCCCCCAATTTTTATTTCAAAACGACAAAAACTCCAAATTATTATAAACCCAAATTTTGCATACACCTACTATTTTAAAAGCATATCCTCTCTGTAAAGGCTCTATAATATTGGCATCTAATTGGGTCAAACATTTCGATGGCAGATGTGTATAATAGCCTCGGCGCAAAGCGCAGTTCAATAACTTTAAAAGAGAAGAATTTACATGATCAATAGTGCCGAATTCTTCCATAAAATATCTTCGATTCGTAATTCCAACCATAAATAGCTTACGATTTTTTATTTTCTTTTGTTCTAAAGCGATGGCGACAGAAACCTTAGATCTTTTTGGAACTACTTCACGTGTCACTATTTCAGTCTGTCCATTCTGTTCCATTCCTGAAAATTACCGATGACTCTTCCGTTTATCTTTGCTTAATTTTTATTCATTTCATCCAATATCATTTATATAGTGAAAGTAGTAGATCCAGCCTTGAGTTCTGCTGTTATATATCAAATAAATTATATATCAACTCGTGCTAATTCATATATACATTTTTTATCTAGCATAGGGTACACAAAACCGGTTTCGAAAGTTGTTGATTCTTGGGGTCCTTGGAGTAACATTTAGTATACCTAAGTAACTGCCAAAGAGTTAAATGGTTTATTTATTTGCCAGTTGTTCATGCCGGGGCACGCTCGGGACACCAATGTTGACGCGTAAGCTTCAGCAACCCATATGCAGAGCAAGCTCCTTACAAACAAAATATAACTTTGGATCGGTACAAAGATTTCTGAATCAAATTTGGTTCAAGGTGATCTTAAGTCTCATCAGTCCGTGCACTATATCATATGGATGTTAAAGGTAGAAAGAAAAGGTGAATGGATCCCTCTTTATAGCCAAACGCCTTATATGTTTTACGATATCACAGCCAAACTTGGCATTTCTAAGTGTTCTACAATGCCTCACGAATTTCATTTTAGTTGAAGATCTGCAGCGGCATGCAGGGATGTTTAGTTTTAAATTAAAGGGCCTAATTAAGCCGATACATGGTGTACAGAAGTAGGACGTGCCCAACTTTAAACATTAAGCTTGTTTAGATTTAAGTTGCAATAGTAGTTTCCCCTTTGTTTTATTTTTTTAGATTTTATTTTCTAAATGCACGATCCAGAACTACTTTTTAAACTAACTTTAATGTACATTAAACGTTCATTCGATTTACTTGAGAGTTTCTGTAAAAATTCAACGCACAGAGTCTCCTTCGGGTTTCGCAATACTTGTAGCATTCATTTTTTGAGTTATTTTGAAGAGTTCGTTTTGATTTCAGCTTTGTGCACCAATGGAAAGAAACTCATTTGATTTAATTTTAATATGAATGTGAAATCCCTATTTTCTGCATATGATTAATTAGTCGTGCAGTATTGACATTTAGCAGGTTGGCTTAGGAATACGATAAGGTTTTAATTACGAATGTCTCGCATATGCTTAACAAAACAAGTTTTATTTATTATTTCTTCAAATATTTTCGGTAGACTTTGGGAATTTGAGTGTTTTGTGCTGAGTTCGTTTAAAATCGTTTTCGTGTCATTTAAGGTTGCGGCAAGCATGTTGGCATTGATTAATGTTTTTACAAAACAGTTGTCGTCTGGTTGTTATGGCATATTATAAATCTATAGCTGCTATACCCTCGTAGTGTGAATATGAGTAAGATTTTATTTATTTAATCATTATTTTCTGCTTTATTCAGCGTAAATTTATACTTAAAAACCGGAGTTTTCTCGCTAGAGTAATGTTGATGTCAGACTGGACTCAAAGTTACGAAGCTTACTACTTCAGAAGAAGGTGTTCTATAAGAAGGAGTCCATTATGATTGTTTTTACTGTTCGTTTATTGGCGCATTTATACTTGATCCAAACAAAAAAATTAAAAAATTATAAAGCAGTCTCCATATTTTGGGGATGTGCAATTAACAAAGAATGTAAGTATCTCGATCAAACTTTTTTTTTAGTATTGAGAAATGAAGCTACGTGTACTTCAACAAATGGGATTGATAGAGTATCCGAATGCCAATGCGCAACTCACACGCATATTTAAGGCCTTTCCAAATATAGATAATGAAATATTAAAACGAAATATAAAACAAAACAGCATCATCGTAGAAAAGTGTCAATATATACATATATGTATGTATGTATATATGGTTATCGGAAAACATAAACAAAGTTAATCAAAGCTGCTGCCATAAATCAGCAATGCTTATGATTTTGTAAGCTGTGAAACATTTCCAACTGATTTCATGGCTAAGTTATGGGAAAATAATTTCATACGATGGGTAAATTGGATTGCAGTATCGGTCAAAAAATCACACAAATTTTGAGCAATGAGAACAGGCTGTTGTCTATGAATACTATGGTATGTACGCATTATTAAGTGTGTTAAGAATAAATAACGCTGCATTGAACAGTTCATTAAAACTTATTGAACAGCTCAACACAAGCAAAACAGCAACAGCAACAAAAAGAAACGATTGTAAAATGTAAATGAAATAAATTTTACGGCACGGTTGAGAATGAAGCGAAAATGCAATGAGCGATAGAGCAGACATAGCGAGAGAGCGGACGTGGCGGAGGGTGCGACAAATGTACGGCTAGACAACTAGGACAACAGCAGTGGCACCAGCAACAACAACAAGAAGGACAATGCGCACAGCAATGGCCGCATAAATTTTCTATGCAGGCACTCTCGCCGCTTCTCTACGTGTATATGAGTGTGAGTGCGCTTGTGAGTGCGAGTTGGCACTCACACACACACTGAAAATAGCAAAATAGCAAATGGTTGCATGCAAATGGCCGCCCACATACCGCCCACAGTTGGCGGAAGTGAAACTATGTTGCCAGGATATATGCAATAATTCAAAACGAATTCCAAGTTCAAAGCGGCCATTACTCGGGCCGAGCCTCAGTTCCAGCTCCAGCCTCAGACTCAGTCGCTGCCACTGCCACTGCCCCTGCCCCTGGCACTGCAGCTGCATTTGTTACAAGAGCTGCAAGCAGCCGAAATAGGCAGCAGCTCTGAAATGTATGCAAATGGCTAATAAGCCTGTCAACAGTTGGAATACTGTTGGCCGCTTTGGCATTTTGACTGATGGCCCGTCGTCCCACAATCGTGAGTTATGAAGTGTTGAGCTCGTTGCCGAGGATGAAAAATAGCAATTGAAATGGCGCGCTCGCTCACTTACCGTTTAATCCGCAGAACAGAAAGTTGGCCTCGTCGCACTTTGAAATCCTCGAAAGCTTAAATATTCAACTTGCTGTGTTGCACGTGCGCTCGAAAGTTTAGCCTGGCGTAGGAAACTTTTTCGTTTTATTGTGGCTGTCTACTCCGCCAGGTTTTAGCATTTGATGTAGAGAGTCAATTTCCCGCGATTGTTGGAGCTTCGTTTTGAGTTATATTTTAAGTTACTTTAATTTTAAGGATAAGTAGTTGGTACTGTGTGTAAATATTGCTTGCTTTGGGACTAGAAATGTTGAGCTCCTCAACTATAAACTACAGTATTATTATTGTTGTGGTTTACTTATTTGTATATATTTATGTATGTGTGTGTATGTGCTAGTATGCATAACGAAAGCACTAGGATCCTTAGTTAATGCCAGATATTACCGAATGGCTTTAAGTACTCGTAGATGCTTCTACACTCGCACTCGCCCTCGCGTCGCACTAGAGTCTCTTATTGGATATTATCAACCAATGGTATGTATACAAATGTTTATTGCACACTAAATTGCATTTGCTGAAATGGCCAAGTGGCAGACACCTGCCAGACGCTGCTTAGCCCGTTTATGGGCCCAATCGTTCACATAAACATAAAACTCACACCACACCGACTTTTCGACCTCGAACTCGACTTAAAATCAACTCAATCGTCAACTCACGGCCATGGCCAGAACCATAAAACGGTCTGTTCGTATGCCTGTCTTCTTAAAAGTCTTACGCGATTTTCTATTCGTTTATCATTCTCATTTTGTATGGAGTAAGGATACTTTGCCGAGCAGTGGCCAACGTGCGACTGAATTCCGCTTGCGGTTCTAATTTTTTACGATTATTGTTATGATTATTTTTACGGTTTTTATGAGCTGTCAATTGGCCACGATGGCGACGACCACGACGAACGACTGTGAGCAACGCTGTGCGCGGTTAGTTGGACAAGCACACCGAGGACGGCACTCGGGCACTGCTGCTGCTGCCTCTGCCAGCTGCCTCGACGATATATGGATGCGGCTGATGTGCCAGATACGCCCGCGACTACAGCAACAACATTAACAAACAACAACAACACCAACAACAGCAACAACTTCCGCGGCTACGACGACTACAACGCTCGAAACGACAACGTGTGCAGATACACGGATACACGAGTGCTCTGTGTTGTGTGATGTTGATTTCTTTACGACTTCTATCAAACTAAACCCATAAAGCATTCAATTCAAAGCATATACATGTGAAAATCCAAGCGAGAACTCCTTATTAATCCAGAAGTGCGCCGGCTTCGCAGTTTCAGCTGGCGTCGACGCCATCAGCGCAAAGCCAGTATATAAATAATCTTATAAGGGACTCTCGCTGTAGTAGCAGCAGCGTCAGCGGCAGCAATAGCAGCCGCAGCGACGACGCTTTGCCCCAAAACTCAGGTCGCTCGTTTACTCTCTCCGACAGCGTTGGAAACGCTTACTTCTGTTACGTGACGTTAGAGCTTACGCAGGGCCACGGCCATAAAGTATCCACTTTTCACTCACTCTGAGCGCATGAGTGAGTGCCTCTGCTATTGCCTCGGCAGCGCAGAAGTCGCTGAGAAGTCGCTGCGACGTCGCTTGCGACGCTGCGCAATTTGTGTTTTCGTTGCGAAATTTATTTTTGCGGCAGCTCTGTACGACGGTAGTTGTGTCTTTGTTTGCACGGTGTCGAGCTTGGACTGTTACTGGCTTGGCACGATATACCGATATAGTTTGCAATATATTTATAATGATATTTTTAAAGAACATCTAGAACGCCTATGCTCTCCTGGGATATACATATATATATTTCAAATGTATTTATTTAATACTAGATCACAGTTAAAAAACGATATCTGCATACAGTTTTTTTTTTCTTAACACACTGGAAGTACCGTTTCCTTAAGTACCAACAAATTGAGGAAATATAATTAAAGAGATATTTAATTGGATTTTTTTCGCCTTGGTTCAATACTTTAAAAAAGTATATTATATGTGGTCAATTAAGATTTCGTTTTGGATGTCTAAGCAATATCTTACTTGTAGTCTTTAACAACTAAAAGTTGTACCATTTTTGTATTTAGGACACAGAATGCTGGTCTCTGAAAATGGTTTATTGCTGTTGTGAACTGTCTTATTTTTGGTTCGCCGACGGCAAAACAATCATGGCGTAAAAATCTAAAACATATACAAAAAACTACGCACACTCATGCATCCGGGCTCTAACACACTCATCAAATTAAATCGGAGAACCACCCCGAACTGGAAATGCTCTCTGGCTCTCTCTCACACACTTCACAACGCGGACTGCAAAATAGAGATTGAGATCACCAGCAGCAGAAAAAGTCGCAGTCGCACCACGTGCGTCTTGCAACGAAGTGCCGACGGCTAAGCTGAACCGCCAATTGGTCGAGTCCCGGGGTCGGGCGCCGAAAAGAGGGAGGAGCCGCAGCGGCTACTCATAAAGCATTTGTGCGCCTTCAAATGTCGCTCGCTCGGCCGCCTGCCAGAGAGTACACTCGTCAAGATGGATGACTATTTTCGAAAGAGAGCGCACGAGTCTGAAGCGTGCGTGTGAGTGCGACAGATGCATGCGGCCGCGTTAAGTGTGACGAATGTGCCATTATTTTGCTTTATGTGTGTCGTGAGCGAGCCATGTTGCTCTTTTTCAATACGAGTTCTCACATAAATTTCCGCAGCAGTCCAATGGGCGGACGCGACGCTGCAAGACATCGACGCTGACGTTCCGACCCGCTGTTGGCGTTGGCAGCAACTGCTCCACGACGTCGGCGCCGCAGAAATGCGTTGCGCTGGTTCTTATGAAGAATCATTTGGCCTTTTGCGTTCGCAATGAATGAAGAGTCGGAACAAAACAACGTGCCAGCGGCAAAACAACTACTCCTACTACAGTAATTATCCCGAAGCGTTTTTGCTCCTCCAATATGATGAATGCAGTTAATACTAATTGTACGAGTATTATGGCTTTTCCTAATACCGGATTTTTAACGTTGTACCCGAAGATTTATAGGGTTTATTTAACTTTTTTAAATTTGTATTTCTGCGTTTTTTACAGCGCCAAAATCACAAACTAATCAGTCTCTCCAAAATCACTGAACTATGTACATACATACATATGTATATCATAAACAGCAGCTTTATCGTAATTGATGAACCATGTCATTTAGATACCATTAGAATGTGTGTTACAACAAAATGTATTTTTATTGAATCTAAATGGAGTGAGGGGCAGGTACCGCATATGCAAGAATGGTGATGGTGCGCCATTAACAAGCTACTCTCAATTAAAATCAAGACATTTCTACTTTGAACACTGATAAAAAAAACACGGATATTTCAATATTTACACGTAGATTTAACTATTTTTTCCATCAATTTTGCAGCATAGTGTGTTTTAGTAAATATGAAGTGTGCACACTTCAATTTAAAATTTAATATTAAAATGTTAGAGTTAAAGTGTGACGATATTAAATCACAAGTGATGATGTGGAGACGGGTTTGATTCACGCCAAAAGTTTATTTTTTATAATTATAAAATATTTTTTCCACTTTTTTGTCTACTCTACTGGTTTTTTAAACTATTTTTAATAATAATATTTCCATAATGCATATTTTATTTATATATTTATAAAAAAAATTTTTTATTTCATTTTAACTATTTGTTTTTTGAAGTGTGTGCATATCAGCTGCATCTCACTTTTAATATTAATATTGATCCAAACTATTTCCATACATACTAAAAGGCATACAAAAACATCAAGATAATAATTTCATAATAACAAACGAATTTTAAAAGTACTTTCTGCTAAAAATGGTGGTTCTATAGAAAACAAGAAAGGAATGCTACAGTCGAGCAGGCTCAACTCTTAAATACCCTGTACCACCCCACAAAAAAATAAATAAATAAAATTTAATTAATTAATTAATTTAATTAATTAACTAATTTAAATATAAAATATTCCATGCATGCATACATACATTTACATCAGAATCGTGTCTATGCGTGTTGGTGTACTTGTACATACTTGTATGTATGTATGTGGGCATTGGCCTGGTTATATGTCTATAACTTTCTTTCTAATTACCCTATCCTAATGAAACTCGGTATACGGATATATAATCACTAACTGGATGTGTCTACCAAATTTTAGTCAAAATTGCAAGAATTACGGGAGTTATAGAAAATCACGAATAGGGGGGAGTGGGGAAAATGGGGAAAATGAACAAATTCGTCCTTTCTCGGGCTCAGGAGAATCTGTATACCAAGTTTGGTTATTCTAGCTTTTATACTTTCTGAGATTCTTGCGGACAGACGGACATGGCTATATCGACTTGGCTTGTCATGCTGATCAAGAATATATATACTTTGTGGGGTCTGCCACGCCTCCTTCTGTGTGTTACATACATTCGCACAAAACTAGTATAGCCTTTTACCCTTTGGGTACAGTGTATAAAAATATATATATAGAAATAAAATAAGCATTATGATAATGTCCATATTGAAAACAGTTAAAAAAAAAACAGTAGCGTAGACAAAAAAATGGAAAAAATATTTAATAATTATAAAAAATAAACCTTTGGCGTTAATCAAACCCACGTCTCCACATCATCACATATGATTTAATATCGTCACTCTTTAAATGTAATATTTTAATATTAAATTTTTAAATTGAAGTGTGCACACTGGCGTTAATCAAACCCACGTCTCCACATCATCACATATGATTTAATATCGTCACTCTTTAAATGTAATATTTTAATATTAAATTTTTAAATTGAAGTGTGCACACTTCATATTTACTAAAACACACGATGGTGCAAAATCAATGGTAAAAATAGTTAAATCTACGTGTAAATATTGAAATTTCCGTGCTTTTTTTATCAGTGTAATGAAACTTGGCGTACGGCTCATAACTGCTACCCGGAGGTATTTGAGCTTGATTTTCTATGAGCAAAATTTGGTGTCTCTATCTCTAATAGTCTCTGAGATCTAGGTGATCAGACGGTCTAACAGACAGATATAGATCGACTCGTCTCGTCATGCTGATCGAGAATATATGCACTTTGTGGTGGCTAGCACGCCTTCTTCTGCCTGCCGCGGTTAGATTATGACTCCGTATGCTAAGTTTCATTATGATAGACCGACTTAACAGGAAGTTATAGCCATATATAGAGGTTCTCTCTGCTCAAGCGCTGCCCGCAGCTGTTGTTCTTGCCGCTGCTTTGGTGTGTGTGAGCATGTGTGTAGTACAAAGTTTAACTAAAGCAGCAACAACAACAGCTGCGGGCAGATCTTGAGAAGAGATTACATATATGGCTCTAACTTCCTGTTAAGTCGGCCTATCATAATAAAACTTGGCCGACGGACTCAAAATTACTAACTGGAAGTATTTGCAAAATTCCAAGAATTACAGGAGTTACAGAAAATCACTGATTGTGTAGGAGGGGGGGAGGGACGATAATTCTGAAATACCCATTTCCTGCGTACTCATATAAGGTATCTTGGACTAAAAATTTGGTGGCCGTAGCTCTTACAGTCTCCGAGACCTAATATATATCACTTATATGTCCCGCAAACCTAATTTACTCTTCTAGTTACTTAATGTACAGAGTATAAATATGAAATATTGTAACGCGATCGAGAGAAGGATTAAAATAGTCTAAAATCTAGATTTAGATAGATTGTCACTATTGATATAAAAATATAAACAGGAATTAAGAAATGTACAAAATTTAGTATACAATATAAGTTATATTTTTTGTTCGTTTTTTAATCCCCTTCACCCGCTACAGAGTTTCACAGCTATATTTCATCCAATCCACAATTCCAAATATGTATATTTATATATAATATCTTAATTTTACCCATTTTTGTACTCTGCACCAGTATGTAACAGGCGGAAGGAGGCATCTCTAAACTTAATCAGCATGACGGACGAATCGATCTAGACAAGAGTTTAATTTTTGAATTCTTTGAACTTTTGAATATCACTACAGGAATGACGCACGGATTAAAAATAATATATTTTTAATATTTTACACACTACATGAAAGTGGACTCGTTGAATTCTGTTGTTCAAATTCTAGGGTTCATTGATAACAAGCTTTGTCTATCAAGGAAAGTCATTTTAGTAGTAGTGTGTAATGTTGCCGCAGGTGGAGTGCATACATTAACTATTCGAATGGTGCTGCCTGTCTTAAAGTAAATATATCTATGTATTAAGAGATTCTAAGTTCCACTTATTGTAGCAATATATATTAAAATAAATAGGTTGGTTTGGCAATCGGCGGCTCAAAAGCGTGGAACACTGAACACTTTACCTCTACCGATCCACAAATACACGGCATCCAGCACCCACAGAGACACTCACACGCATCGGTGCTCTTTGACAACTGTGCGTCTCTAAATCATTCAATTCGAACTCGCATCCGAGGCATGTCTCTCCAACCGTTCGCCCTGCATGACTGTTCGTCCTTTTTTGGTGTTCACCTTGGAAAATATTTTCGAGCTCCCTCGGCCGTTATTTCCGCTTCAGCAGCTAAAATAACACGAGCGGTAACAACAACAAAACGGCCGTGAAAACAAACCGCGCGTGCCTTCGTTTGCCGGTGAGCTGCGATTGTGAGGAACGGCCTGGGACCAAACCTGGCAATAGGAAAAATAAGCCAACTGGCAAAAGCTACGCAAAAGAAACAGCAACACAAACAGGAAGAAGAGCCACAAGTGATCAATTAAGTTACCTCCTGAATTTACTACGTGCAACATTGAATGGTTTCTCATGTCGCGTCGATTTTGTCTCACTCTTATCGGCCCGCCTCCTTATACCAAGTTTCTTGACCAACCAGTTGACGCAGTCTCGAGTGCATATCAATCAAGTGTGTGCTGCAAAAGTTCCTCTTACTCGCATTTTTCATCTTTTCAGTAGTGTAGCATACGATTTCATTTTCTCACCCGATTTCAAACATGCACCTAATTAACCATGCAACCAGCTTACAATTGTTTCCCAAATGTTGATACTTCTACTATACTTCGCTTGTTGTTGTTAAGACTGTATTTTCTGTCGCTCTATCTGGGCGACCGCGACCGCGACCCCATGCATGCATGCGAATAATCAGTCAAGTTGATCAGGCGAGTCAATAAATAAAGCGTGGTGGCCACCACCTGCCCGATTCCAACGACGGCGGCAGCTGACAGCACCTGGTAGCCTCGTTCGACAAAAAAGAAAACACAGACAACAGGAACGGCAGCAGCAGAAAACACAAGCGACAGACAGCAAGTCGACATATGACAGCATTTAAATGGTAGTTTATCATAATTTGTCTGCGAGCTAAACTAATGCAAACATCAAGTGCTTATGTACCTTTGTTCGAGTATTCGTATTCGTTCGCTGCATACATTACCACCGATCAATTGTTTATTCATCTAATACATTTATTTTTTACCTTTGCTTACATATTCATAGCTGTATAGTACTCGTACATACATACACACTTATAATGTTGTTCTGATGCATAACTTTTACATGTCTTCTATATATGTATTAAAAATATTTTCTTAATTAATTTAACTTTTCTTAGGTAATTTAATTTTTATACTCTGTACATGAAATGTACAGAAGTATATTAGGTTTGCGGGAGCTGAAAAATGTAACAGGCAGAAGGAGGCGTGGCAGACCCCACAAAGTATATATATTCTTGATCAGCATGACGAGACGAGTCGATCTAGCCCTGTCTGTCCATCTGTCAGTCTGTTCGTCTGTCCGTCCGTATGAACACCTGGATCTCAGAGACTATAAGAGATAGAGACACCAAATTTTGCACAAAGATGCCTTATATGTGTACGCTATACGAGTTTGTTTTATTTTTTTGATTTTCCCACTTCCCCCCTATGGGGGTTTTCCCGATTTTCCATTCGTATAATCGTCTATATCTCGGAGACCATAAGACCTAGGAACACCAAATTTTAGTCCAAGGTGCCTTGTGTAAATACGCAGAAAATGTATATTTTGGAATTTCCCTCCCTCCCCCCTCTCCCCCGCAAATGCGATTTTCTCTAACTCCCGTAATTCTTGGAATTTCGAACTAAAATTTTGCAAATCCCCCAGTTAGTAATTATGTGTCCGTATGCCGAGTTTCACTATGATAGACAGATTTACCAAGAAGTTATAGCCATAAATATATTTGCTGCTGCAGCGCTGCTCAAGCGCTGCCCGCGACTGTTGTTGATGCTGGTGCTTATGTTGACTGCACACATGTTTACACAGACACGAATATATGCGCATAGGCATACATACACTCACACAGACGCAATTGCTATGTAAATGTGCAATTATACACCCTTTACGTGAGTTCGAATACCGAGAAAGGTAAAATCGATCATTGAATTTTTTTTATTTTCTTAATTTTTTTTATTTTCTATAATTATTGTAAACATATGTACAGAGTATTTCAAAGTCGGGACACCCGACTTTAGCTTTTTTACTTGTTTTTAAATACATATATATTTTTTTATTTTTTATTTTTAGTGGAGAGCACAGGCTATTTTACTGTCGGGCTTGCTACACTGTAGCGTTCTATCTTGTTAATAATAATTCGCATTGTTCCTTGGGTGGAACTATCAAAAGAAACGAAGGGATTTAGATGATTTGGATGATTTGGGGATTGTAGCAGTCTTAGTTTTCGATATTTTTAAAAGATAAACAAGAAAGGAATGCTAAAGCCAAGCGGACTCAGCTCTTAAATACCCTCTACCCACCCCATAAAAAAACAAGATAGAACGCTACAGTCGAGCCAATCTGACAGTAAGCACTCCCACATGAAAATCGCGTATATGCGTGTATGTATGCAGTACAAAGTTGAACCAAAGCAGCAACATCAACAACAACAACAGCTGCGGGCAGCGCTTGGGCAGAGGCTAAATATGTATATGACCAGAACTTCCATTATAATTCACCTATCATGATGAAACTTTGCATACGTACACGTAATCACTAACTGAATAATAAAAAAAAATTTAGTTTAAAATTTCAAAAATTACCGGAGTTACAAAAAATCACTAATTGCCTGGGAGATGAGGAAGGAGTGGAAATTGCAAAATACACATTTTCTGCGTTTTTACAAAAGGCATCTTGGAATAAAATTTGGTGTCCCTAGGTCTCATAGTCTCCGATATATAGGTGATTATACGACCGGGAAATCGGGAAAACCCCCATAGAGGGAAGTGGGGGAAAATCCAAAAAATATAACAAACTCGTATAGCGTACACATATAAGGCATCTTTGTGCAAAATTTGGTGTCTATCTCTTATAGTCTCTGAGATCCAGGTGTTCATACGGACAGACAGATACACAGGGCTAGATCGACTCGACTCGTCATGCTGATCAAGATTCTTCAAGAATATACTTTGCGGGGTCTGCCACGCCTCCTTCTGTGAAATTAAAATTTCCCTCCCTTCTCCCTTCAATCACTTATTTTCCATAACTCCCGTATTTCTTCGTATTTTTATACCCTGTACCCGTAGGGTAAAAAGGGTATATTAGGTTTGTACAAAGTGTGTAACATGCAGAAGGCAGCATTTCCGACCCCATAAAGTATATATATTCTGAATCAGCATGACGAGAGAAATCGATCTAGATATGTCCGTCCGTCTGTCCTCTTTTTACTTCTGCTATGGGCGCATATAACTCAGTGACGGAAGTTTACCTGGGTACAGGGTATTTCACTGTCGGGCTTGCTAGACTGTAGCGTTCTCTCATCTTGTTTTCATTTAAATTCGTCCGTATGCCAAGTTTCATATTGATAGGCAGATTTAACTGGAAGTTATAGCCATATATGTATATAGTGCCAAGCAGTGCTCTCAGCTTTTGTTGTTGTTACTGCTTTGCACAGGCATACGAGACATACATATACACACACAAACACACACATACACGCATAATTAATCTACACATATTTACAAAGTATTTCAAAGTCAGGGCACCCGACTTTAGCTTCTCGACTAGTTTTTTTTTAATTTCATTGAAAGCGGTCGATTCTAAGAAAAGTTAGGAAGTTTGTTTGGGTACAGGGTATTTCACTGTCGGGCTTGCTCGACTCTAACGTTGTCTCTTGTTATATATATACTTGTAAATATGTAGATATGTATACAAAAGTTAGATAGGTAAGATAGATATTCGTTTTATATTTTAATCTATCTAGCTTTTACTTAACTGTCAACGATTATTGTTGTTTTGTTACAAAACACCATTCCAGTTCGGTTATTCGTTTGGCCCACAACTGCTCTTTAAGAGTTCCAAATTTTTTAAATTATTTTCAAAATTTTTAGCTGACATGGTGCGAAGTTTTGGTAATGAATTCACGTGCAATATCGTTCATAGAAAAAATGTTGTCTCGTTGACAGGTCCCGGCCCCGGTGCTTACATGCTACCCAGCACAATCGGCTTTAGCAGACACGACTCCAGCAAACAGCGGAGTCCTCAGTACTCTTTCGGTGTTCGGACAGCGACGATGGTTGGGTCTTCGAGCACAAAGCCTAGGCCTGGTCCCGGTCCAGCTGCTTATCAGGTGGACAAGCTAACACGGTATGGCGGAGGTAGTATTGTGTGGGGGAGGAAGGATGCCTAGTATGATGCATATGAAATTGCATATGAAAATGTAGAATGTTTATTATCTAATCAGCAAATAAATCCCAAAACGAGTTGAGAACTATACTCAATGGCTAAGCATCTCATGATATGATTATTAGAATTATTAAGAGAATAAACATGGCCATAAAAATAATAAAAGACGACAGTGCGTGTATATTTATATACTATACGCATATACCGCTACTATGTCTGTGTGGGAATGGGGGTGAAGGGGTGGCATCGAAAGCAAATGCGTGTGCGCCATTTAAATAAAAGAAGCAAAGAAATTCGAGCGGAACGCCTACAACCTGGGTGTGGCTGTGGGTGTTTTGTTGAGGGTCGGATACACATTGGCGCTTTGGTGGTGAAATACGATGTGGCAACACCCTACAACGCCACCGAGCGGCACGCACACGCATACCCACACGCACACCAACATATACACATTCGGCACGCACGCTGGCAACGCACGCACGCACTCGACACATGGCGCTATCGGCGCTTCCGGTGCGTGCTCTGCTCGCTTGGCCCTCCACAGGCACCCTTAGTTCACACACTGACGAGTTTCGCAACACAAAGTTAGCCGCCGAAGGCGAAGGAAGCAAGAAAAATCTAAAACGCAATAACTTTGGGGTGAAAATAGCTGAAAATATCGATGGAGAAGGACGTACAGAACTACAACAACAACAGGAGCTTTAATAGCAGCAGTCGCCACGACAGCACAAAAAAATATATAGTATAAGCAAAATGAGAGCCCAAAATGCCAAAATAGAAATAAATTCCTTTGTGTGCTCTTATCTATATGATTTGTGATTCTGGGTGTCGTCGATTGTTGTTTTTGCTGCAGAGCTGCTACTGACAATGACTGGATGATGGTGTTGTGGATGGTGGGAGGTGGAAGCAGGATGGCGGGTGGTGGATGAGGTTGACTGAAGACGCCCCCCCTCATCTTCAAATCTGTAGGCAACCACAGCCAGGCTTCAAGACATGACCCACAAAACAGAAGGCTACGTTGCTTGCTTGGAGCTTAATGGAATATTTTGTATTGTATTTTTTTTTGCTGCCGTGTCCCTCAAGGATGTCCTAGAATGCCAACGGCCGTGGCGCATCGTAAGGAGAGTTGCTTGTATCAACGACATTTCGTTTCGCACATAAATATCCACGCAAGGCAATCTATCTTCTGCCACCCGCACGTATAATTCCTTTGTCCGCCTGCAATCAAAATGAGTATTTTTGCGCTTTTTTCAAGCTGTCCAAACGCTCGGGCGCTCGGGCGCTCGGGCGCTTGGACGTTGGCCAGCCGGCCATAATGAAATATAAGCAAGTATTTAGAAGGCACTCTGCAACAACAGAAACAACAGAGAGAATGCAAGACGTATAAATAATATGCCATAATGTCATGAAATATCTGCAAGTGTGGGGAGCAGGCACAGATCTGTACGAAGGAACAGCTGGGGCCGCCAGGCAGATGAAAACTGACCAAGGGGTGGCTGCCGAGACTCATATGCCGACAGAGGCGGGGGGAGAGAGAGGTGGGCCATACTATATACAGACATTATAAGTATGTATTATAAAGCAGCTGAGCAGATAACATTTCTTTGATATCGCATAAAAGTAAAACATAACTACAAAGATTTATAGCCGGCAAATGGACGATGCCAGTGCCTATGCTGATGATCGACCGGCGGAAAGTAAAAATCTTAAGCTTTATCTTACTTTATACATAATCTGACTATGATTTGCTTACTTGCTATTAAAAGGAGCGGAATGCCCACTTTGTTAAAGAAATTGTTTCTCCTCCATGTTTCTCCACATGATTTGTCGGCCTTTTTTTATGTGGCTTACGACTCTTGTGGTTTTATTTTGTCTTCGCCAATATTTTTAATGGCCCAGATACAAAACAAGTAAAAAAGCTAAAGTCGGGTGTCCCGACTTTGAAATACTCTGTACATATGTTTACAATAATTATAGAAAATAAAAAAATTAAGAAAATAAAAAAAAAAATTTGATCGATTTTACCTCTCTCGATATTCGAACTCACGTAAAGGGTGTATAATTGCACATTTACATAGCAATTGCATCTGTGTGAGTGTATGTATGCCTATGCGCATCTATTCGTGTCTGTGTAAGCATTTTCGCAGTCCACCAAACAGCAACATCAACAACAGCCGCGGGCAGCGCTTGAGCAGCGCTGCAGCAGCGCTGCATCAGCAAATATATTTATGGCTATAACTTCTTGTTAAATCGGTCTATCATAATGAAATTTGGCATACGGACACATAATAACCAACTGGGGGTATTTCCAAAATTTTAGTTCGAAATTCCAAGAATTACGGGAGTTACGATTTGCGGGGTAGAGGGGGGAGGGAAGGGAATTCCAAAATATACATTTTCTGCGTATTCACATAAGGCATCTGGGACTAAAATTTGGTGTTCCTAGGTCTTATAGTCTCCGAGATATAGGCGATTATACGAATGGAAAATCGGGAAAACCCCCATAGGGGGGAAGTGGGGGGGGAAAATCAAAAAAATAAAACAAACTCGTATAGAATACACACATAACGCATCTTTGTGCAAAATTTGGTGTCTCTATCTCTTATAGTCTCTGAGATCCAGGTGTTCATACGGACGGACAGACGGACAGACAGACAGACAGGGCTAGATCGACTCGTCTCGTCATGCTGATCAAGAATATATATACTTTGTGGGGTCTGCCACGCCTCCTTCTGCCTGTTACATTTTTCAGCTCCCGCAAACCTAATATACTCTTGTACATTTCATGTACAGAGTATAATTATCAAATAATCGCATACATATTTTCTGTGAGCCCTCTCATGGCGTAGATAAAATATATAAGAACGAAGACGAAACGATTTTTCATAAATACGTGTTATTCTTTTGCTTTCGCTTTCATTTTGACGTATGACAGTAGCCTTAGACTATTGGGACTGACTGAGCAAAAAAAATGACATTTTAGCAAAAACAAAAAGGTAATTGATTACAGATACAAGACAGAGTAGAGAATTGAGACAAAGCAGTCTCAACAACAGCTGCGGGCAGAGCTTGGGCAGAAATTACATTTATGGCCATAAATTCCCTTAAAATGGCCGTATCACGTTGATATACAGACACATTAGCACTAAATGGAAGTATTTGTCAAATTTGAGATGAAATGGGAGAGTTATGAACAATCACTAACTGAGGAGGTGTCCGATATTCATCAGAAAACAAGAGAGAACGCTACAGTCGAGAAAGCCCGACAGTAAAATCGTCTGTACTCTCCACAAAAAAGGAAAATTAAAAAAAAAAATTTTTAATTAAATTATTAAAAAAATTGAATTAATTATTTAAATTAATAAAGAAAACTTATTTAATACATACATAGAAGACATGTTTATGTACAGTTCTAACAGCATACATTTACATCGTCGTGTCTATGCGTGTAAGTATGCAGCACAAAGTTGAACCAAACCAGCAACAACAACAGCAGCTGCGGGCAGAGCTCCAGGCAGCGGATGGCCAGCGATTTTATTTATTGCTATAACTTTCTTCAGAATTGACCAATCATGATGAAACTTGGCATACGCATACATAAGCACTAACTGGATGTAACTACCGAAATTGATTTCAAAATTCCAAGAATTGCGGAAGCTTACAAAAAAAACGAAATGCGGGGGAGTGTATCAGAATAAAAAAACGAACTTGACCTGCCTAGAGCTCAGGGGAACCTGGATACCAAGCTTGGTCATTCTAGCTCTTGTACCTTCTGAGATCCTTGCGCTCATACAGATGGACGGACGGACATGGCTATATCGACTCGGCTTGTCACCCTGATCAAGAATATATGTACTTTGTGGGGTCTGCCTCGCCTCCTTTTGAAACTCGACATACGGACTCATAATCACTAAGGTGTTTTCCGAATTTCAATGAAAAATTCCAACAATTAAGGGAGTTATGGAGTGCGGGAAGAGGAGGGAGCGAGAGAAATTCCAAAGAGGGAAGTGGGGGAAAATCAAAAAAATAAAACAAACTTGCACAGCGCAAAGTTTGGTGTCTCTACCTCTTATAGTCTCTGAGATCCAAGTGTTCATACGGACAGACAGACAGGGCTAGATCGACTCGTCTTGTCATGCTGATCAAGAATATATATACTTTTTACCCTTGTACATTTCATGTACAGAGTATAAAAAATGTTTTAAAAAAATTTAATTAATTAAATTAAATATAATATATTCCATACATGCATACATACATTTACATCAGAATCGTGTCTATGCGTGTTTGTGTACTTGTACATATGTATGTATGCATTACATTATTATGTCAAAGCAGCAACAAATACAGCTGCGGACAGAGCTTGGGCCTGGTTATATGGCTATAACTTTCTTTCTAATCAACCTATCATAATAAAGCCTGCGATACGGATATATAATCACTAAGTGACTGCCAAATTTTAGTCTAAAATTCCAAAAATAACGGGAGTTATACAAAATTGCAAATAGCGTTAAAGTGGGGGTAGGTGCATCCGGAAAAATGAATAAACTTGCCTTTTCTCGGGCGTAGGAGAATCTGGATACCAAGTATGGTTATTCTAGCTCTTATACTTTCTGAGATCCTTGCGTTCATACAGGCAGACAGATAGACGGACATGGCTATATCGACTCGGCTTGTCATCCTGATCAAGAACATATATACTTTGTGGGGTCTGCCACGCCTCCTTCTGTCTGTTACATTTTCAGCTCCCTCAAAGAGGTAGAGACACCAAACTTTACGCAAAGATGCGTTATGTGTGTCCGCTATGCAAGTTCTCGGAGACTATAAGACCTAGGGACACCAAATTTGAGTCCAAGATGCCTTATGTGAATACGCAGAAAATGTGTATTTTGGAATTTCCCTCCCACCCCCCTCTCCACCGCAAATCGCTATTTTCTCTAACTCCCGTAATTCTTGGAAATTCGAACTCAAATTGCAAATACCCCCAGCCAGTGCATATGTGTCCGTATGTCAAGTTTCATCATGATAGACCGAGTTAACAGGAAGTTATAGCCATAAATATATTTGCTGCCCAAGCGCTGCCCGCAGCT